TTGGACTGTGGGAGGAAACGGAGTACCCGAGGAAACCCACGCAGACACAGGGAGAACAGGCAAACTCCACACAGAGATGACCCTGGTCACCCGGCCGGGAATCGAACCCAGGCCATTCTTGCTGTGAGGCGACAGTGCTACCCACTGCGCCACTGTGCCGCCGTGTTTTATTTATGCACAATTAAATAATTAAAATGTAAGCAAAGTATTCACAGTGGTTTAACGTGAAATGCTTAGTTCTTGAGAAACCCACCATCTGAATTGTTCACAACATGCTGATAGGAACCAGACGTCTGACGCATTTAATGCCTCACGGAGAACTAGTACAGGAAATGGTTACAAATATGTTGGCTGATGCCTGAGACACTGTTTTCTGATAGTTTCGAGATCATGTTTTGGTCAAAACCTTTTTTGGAGTACCTTCAGGGCATAAAGGTACATGCAAGGCATTGCAGGTAAAAAGAACCCAAAGAAATTTGGGAAAATTTACCATCATCAACATCACATATAACAACTCTGTAAAGGCGTTTAGGTTAACTGGACATTAGTTAAGACAAAGCAGTTATTAATGTATCACAGACATCATGATCAATCACTATCCACCACCAGTCTTTAGGTTTATCTACAAGGCACCATTTCACATCGAACCACTCTGAATGACTTTGTTCATCTCAATGATTGAATTATGTAGATGTTTTGAAAAATCAGTGCAATTCCGCTTCAGTATGAATGTTTGGTTTGAAAAGCAAACCGAAAATGTGATGTATAAACATGTAACACCACTAAAACGGGTATCTGACCACAAATCAACGGCACACTTTGCATTGGCAAACCTAAGTCAGTACCTGGAAGCAGCCACTCATGATTTTACGAGGCACACTAAAACACTCTGACTGTAAATGTCTTCCTCCTGGCAGAATCACAACCTGAGACATATAAACCATCTTTATGACATAGTGGAGTCTGTGAGTGATTGGACAGCAACACAGTTTTTTTTTTTTAATTAAATTAACAACACGTATTCAACCCACAGGTGAACTTCAGTTTGGCTTGGCCACCCATATGGAAAAGAAAAAAAAAGATATGGACATATATTTTTATATAACTGAAATACATTTGAAATACATTCCAATCCATGCTGAAATATATCTCAAACACTAAAATGTATTTTTCGAATACACCGATCAGGCACAACATTATGACCACCTCCTTGTTTCTACACTCATTGTCCATTTTATCAGCTCCACTTACTATATAGGTGCACTTTGTAGTTCTACAGTTACAGACTGTAGTCCATCTGTTTCTCTGATACTTTGTTAGCCCCCTTTTACCCTGTTCCTCAGTGCTCAGGACCCCCATGGACCCTCACAGAGCAGGTACTATTTGGGTGGTGGATCATTCTCAGCACTGCAGTAACACTGACGTGGTGGTGGTGTGTTAGTGTGTGTTGCGCTGGTCTGAGTGGATCAGACACAGCAGTGCTGCTGGAGTTTTTAAACACTGTGTCCACTCACTGTCCACTCTATTAGACACTCCTACCTTGTCGGTCCACCTTGTAGATGTAAAGCCAGAAACGATTGCTCATCTGCTGCTGCACAGTTTGTGTTGGTCATCCTCTAGTCCTTCATCAGTGGTCACAGGACGCTGTTGGCTGGACATTGTTGGTTGGTGGACTATTCTCAGTCCAGCAGCGACACTGAGGTGTTTAAAAACTCCAGCAGCACTGCTGTGTCTGATCCACTCAGACCAGCACAACACACACTAACACACCACCACCATGTCAGTGTTACTGCAGTGCTGATGTTATGTTATAATGTTATGTCTGATCGGTGTATATTGTCTATAAAGTAACAAGTAACAAACTGTAAACTTGTTAAGTAATTAATAAGGTTAATTACTTGCTTGTTAATTCTCCTCTTGTTACTTCTTTTCTCGAGTGCCTTGCTCTCCCTTTGCTGCCATAGCACTGAGAACTTCCCTGTTGTGGGACTAATAAAGGATTTCCTATTTTATCTTATACCTCGTTTATTTGAAATACATTGAGTGCGAATGTCTCACTGCATACGTCTGTGGTAAATGCAATGTACAATGCAGATCACAGAAGTCAGTACCGTACAGTTATATCTGTAACCTTTATGAAATAAAAAAAATATGTATTTGGAAAATACATTTAAAAATACATTTTAAATAAATTTTAACATATATCTAAATAATACATTGCTGGGCCATTTTTATACATTGCAAAAATATATTTGCAATTATTAGCAGCGTGCTTTGAATCATAGTCCTGAAGGTGAAGCACATCCACTGAAATAATTCGGATGTTTCTCTTCACTTTAGAATTCATCCTACTGCTGTTGGCATTTGCACTAGTTCCACTGGCAGCCACACAATTAGGGTTGCACAGATATCAATACCGCATCAGTATACTGGCGGTATACTGGTATCAGCAATAGAGAATACAGGTACCATGAAGCCTGACCTGCAAGCACTGATGGAACTCAAATGGGGATTTCCACCAAATTCTAAAAATTGCTGCCTAATTAAATGGTTAAAATGCAAATGAAGTCATTTAGTAGTTGTAGTAGTTTGATGTGAAATGCTTAATTCTAGAGAAACTTACTGAGTCAGACTTGTTCACAGTGATGGTGATAGGAACCAGACGTCTGAAGAGTTTGTCATTCAGTGTTTTATGCCTCTAAAATCTCTCTGACAGAAAGTTCGGTCACACTTTATTTGGATGGTCCCCTATAGATGCTCTACAGATACTGAAATCATTAACAAACTTTCCAGTGATGCTCAGTTGATTATCAACAACATTGTGGTTGGGGTTAAGGTTAGGAGTAGATGTAAGTTTAGCCTTGAGGTTAGGGTTAGGATTAGGGTTAGGGTTAGGGTTAGGGATAGATTTAATAAGCTCTTTCACATTGAACTTGAAGTTCAGTTGAATTTAATGGATATTTAGTTGAATGTTACTTAAAGATTTACTGAGCATTTACAAAGCATCTACAGTGGACCATCCAAATAAAGTGTTACCAAAAGTTATTGCATAAAAAAGGTTTCATATATGCTGTCTGATTCCTGAGACGCTGGCTTACGATACTTTTGAGTTGAGATTCTGGCATAAAACAGAATTTTTTATATCCCTTTATATCCTTCATGATGGAGAGGTACATGCAATAAAAAAATATTTGGTAACACTTTCTATGAATGTCACCTTTATAAGCATCTATAAACACATTCATAACATGTTATAATGCATTCATAAGGCATTATAAACATGGCTATAAATATTTATAAATATGCATTACACATTATAGCCATGCTTATTATGCATTATGAATTGTTTACATAATACAATTTAAGTACTGATCATAACAAATTATAAGAGCTCATAAGTCATATTTGTCCGCTCTAAGTAAAGTGAAGCATACTGTTCTAAAGCCTCCTCCAGTGTTCAGAGTGAGGGTTCAAGTTGAAGTATTTACTGAAGGATTTACTGAAACACTAAAACATACACAGTAAAGCACATTACAGGCTTCGAATGTCAGAGTTTAAACTAGAGCTGCCATCAGTGTTTTACCCAATGTGGGAAAGGTAATGTACACCACCGTTAGCTTGGTATTTGTCTTTACTTTGCAGTCTCCAAGCTGGGACTGACTTCTTTGGCACTGTTATAACATGTTATACTGTCAGTGTCAAAGCTTGGAGAGCGTAAAGTAAAGACAAATACCAAGCTAACGGTGGTGTACATTACCTTTCCCACATTGGGTAAAACACTGACGGCAGCAATAGTTTAGAATCTGACATTTGAAGCCTGTAAAGTGGTTTACTTGTATGTTGAAGTGTTTCAGTAAATCCTTCAGTAAATACTTCAACTTGAAGCCTCACTCTGAACACTGGAGGAGGCTTTAGTACAGTACGCTTCACTTTACTTAGAGCGGACTAATACAACTTAGGAGCTCTTATAATTTGTTATGATCAGTACTTATAATGTATTATATTAACAATTCATAATGCATAATAAACATGGCTATAATGTGTAATGCATTTTTATAAATATTTATAGCCATGTTTATAATGCCTTATGAATGCATTATAACACTTTATGAATGTGTTTATAGATGCTTACAAAGGTGACATTCATAGAAAGTGTTACCAAATATTTTATTTTCAGATTTACCATTATTTTAGCATCTTCAGCATTACATACAAAAACTTATAAGACGTGTAGGTTGACTGGTCATTTTGGATAGTGAATAAAATGGCACCACCACTGTAAAGAAATCTAGCTCAGAAAGTTTTTCTTACACTGCACCATTTCACCAAAACACTCTGAATGACTTTGTTAACATCTCAATGACTGAACTATGTAGAAATAAAAAAGAAAGACTGACAGAATGAGGAAAGTGTAGGCAAACATTCTCATTATATGAACATTAGACTTTGTCCTAGAACTCTATAAACATTTTATGTACTTTCTACAGAGACGTTGGAGTTTTCATAGCAGTCTAAAGAGGTGATGAAATGTGGCCGGCGACACAGAATTACTAGAAATAGAAAATTAGCACATTCCATTTATGAAGTGACTGATGTTCCCAGAAAGCGTGAAACATCAAATAAAACATCTAAAAATATTTGCTGTTTTTAATATTTCAATCTGTGTAAGTTTAATAAATTTAATAAATTAAAAAAATGCAATGACAAGTGATTCTAAACATTTAAGCAGTAATGTATATTTCGCTATCAGAACAAAACCTTGTGTCCACTTTTTTCATATTATTTTAACACAATTTAAAAATGCCACTGCTGTTCACACCGTATCAGAATTAGAATCAAATCTTGTTACATTAACTTACATTGAAAGTAAAGTTTATTATCCTTCTCCTGTTACTTTTTTTTGGATATACGAGGTTTTGTCCTGACAGCAGTAGCAATGATGCTCTTCAGCGATTCCTAGATTTTTTAAACACAGTGCTGCAACTAAACCGCTTTCTTACTGGTTCCCAGAAGGCCGTGGGGCTCTGACTGGCGTCTGCCTGCCCTCCCCTCGTGGTCCTTGCGCTTCTTGCTTCCTCTCAGGCTGCTGAACCTCTTCATAGCTGCAGGAGGGATGCTGGGTAGAGGCTGGGCAGTGCGGAGGTGAGCATACCTGAGGCCCGGGGAGAGCGCTGACTGATGCTGACTGCGTATGGCCTGCGGGAGCCTCAGTAAAGGTCCAGCATCGCGTTCCGGTCCAGAATATGCAGCCAATTCAGAATACGCAGTGAGCTGAGAGCTGAAAGTGGCAGAAGCTTCACGTGGATAACAAGCGCAAGAATCCTTTCGTCCGAGAGCAGATGAGAGTCACGGTGGTGAGGAGTTGTTATGGGCCGCAGGCATGCTGCCAGGCAGTAATTCCAACGGGAGAGGACTTGTGTAAAGCTCCTTGAGGAAAGGACAACCACTCACTCCTCCTCAGGCTCATGCATTCTGCTTCTGCGTTCCTCCTTTCATATCTCTCTCTCTCTCTCTCTCTCTCTCTCTCTCCCTCTGGATCAGTGGCCACAGAGTTGGCCTCCCTTCAGCAGATTGTCAGGTGCAGCTGTGTGTGTGTGTGTGTGTCTTCAAAATAGCCTATGTTGTAGAGACACTGTAAAAGGAAACCAACACAGATACGCAAAGCCTCCGCCAGTGATTGGCTGAATAGCCGCCTCCCTCCCACTCCTGGACAGTCCATCTCTCCAAGTACAGTATATGTGTGCGTGTTTCACATTACTCAGTTGAGTTGATTAAACATCCTCCTGAACTGACAGCTTAACAGCCTGAAGAAACAAACAGATCAACACTATAAAAATAATTCAAAGTCAGCTCAGGCAACTTATTACACAGCTTTTCTTGAGTGAATCCTTTTTCACACTAGCCGTAAAATTTGCACCTGTTTTGAAGGTCCCTCAGTCGAACTATGCATTTTTTTCTTGAGTAACATCGATGTGGAGTCTTTATAGCGCTAAAATGCTGTTTTTTATTACGGCAGAAAACACAGAAATGCAGCAATTGTCTGTTTTATCTCTGCTGTCTTTGTGGAGAGGTGTGAATTGTTTTTCACAGCAGGGGGTTCTTGCCCCTCCCTTTTCACCCCATCATTGCTCACTAGCAGCTCAACATAGACTCACAACATTTCACACACAGAGAGCAGCTGCATCCTAGTTCACCTGATAACAGAGTTACGGCGGGAAATATTTTATTTGCTTATGTTAATTGAAAATAGGTTGATTTGTATTCCACCTCCAGGGGGCACTGCAGAAAAAAGTAAACTCAACTTGAGGATCCTACCATAGAGCCCCGCTGGGGACATCCGGTGTAAATAAAAGTAATGCATGGCCTTACTAATGCGTAGGAACGAGATCCTAATGCGTGGCCACAACTTAAGTATCTCATTCACATGCCTGACATAGTGAGACATGGGAATGAGATAATTAAGTCATGGCCACAACATAGTGAGGTAAGGGAATGAGAAAATTAAGTTGTGGCCACAACATAGTGAGGCGTGGGAATGAGATAATTAAGTTGTAGCCACAACTTAGTGCGGCGTGGGAATGAGATACTTAAGTCATGGCCACAACATAGTAAGGCGTGGGAATGAGATAATTAAGTCGTGGCCACAACGTTGTGAGGCGTGGGAATGAGATAATTAAGTCGTGGCCATGACTTAGTAAGGCATGGGAATGAGATACTTAAGTCGTGGCCACAACATAGTGAGGCCTGGGAATTAGATAATTAAGTCGTGGCCACAACTTAGTAAGGCATTGGAATGAGATAATTAAGTTGTGGCCACGACATCGAGAGGCAGGGGAATGAGATAAGTCATGGCCATGACTTAGTAAGCTGTGGGAATGAGATAATTAAGTCATGGCCACGACATAGTGAGGCATGGGAATGAGATGATTAAGTTATGGCCACGACATAGTGAGGCATGGGAATGAGATGATTAAGTTATGACCGCGACTTAGTAATCTGTGGGAATGAGACCATGGCCATGCATTAGGATCTCATTCCCACACCTTACTAAGTCATGGCCATGACCTAAGTATCTTGTTCCCATGCCTTAATAAGTCGTGGCCAAGCATTATTCTTATTTGTACCTCATGTCACCAGCGGGGCTCCGTACACTGCAGTTCATCCAGCCCAAACTTCTCAAGCCCTTTCCACACATGCACTTTTCCCGGGAATAACCGCAAGTAAACGGGAATGGTGAACTCAAGCTGGGGTAGACATCTTGCTAAAGCTGACATGGCACTTTACATGCACCAGACAGTACAATTCCAGGGAAATTCCCGGGAGAGCTCATGTGCAAACGGAAGCCAGTGCGTTACCAGAAATTACAAAGAGGTCTAGATTAATGCAGAATGGCCAGAGAAGCAGAACACTCGTGTTTTAAGGTTGTTCAGTTTAGCAGTGTTTTCTCAGCCATCCATTACTGGGAGCTCAACGGTGGCTCTCTTAATAAAGTTTATTAACAGCTACTGCCATACTGTGAATTTATCACTGAAGTACGTTAAGTTCAAAGCATCATTTACAAGCTGAACACAGCACCATTTCACATTCAGCCATTCTGAATCGCTTTATATCAAGGATTGAATTGTGAAGAAAAAACTAAATTGATTTTTCTTCTAAAACAAAAAAACACAATGTGATAAAATTCAACAAATAGTTTAATTTGTGATTAATAATCATTAAAATAGACAATTCTTCCTCCAAGCAATACAGTGGGCTATGTTTGCCGAGAATTGAGGTCGTTAACCAGCGTTGAAATGGGTTATAACCACTACAGAACTGCCATGTCTATAGAAGCACTGAAGTAATTAAAAGTAACTGTGGACCTGACCGTAACTGGAAGGTCATCTAGAGACAGCATCATTTTTAGTTTAGTTTAGTTTTCTTACAAAACTTTCTGACTTGCAGTCCAAAGACTGAGTTTCACAGAACATACAAAATATACTACAAAACATCTAAAATGACAAATATATAAAGATATATACACAGATACACATACGCCACACTACAACAACTTAGACAGCCTGATGCCACTTCTTAGTCTATTGGTTCTTGCATGCACAAGTGACAGCTGGATACTTTTTTGCAGGAGACGACTCGTTTTCAGACCCTTATTGAGTGGAAATAATCACATCATACATGTGAATTAACAGCCTTGTGTGGTGTTGATGTGTTTGTTACTCAGCGGTCTGCTGGACCCACCACATTACTGGTCTTTTAAATCAATACAGCCATAACAATGTATGTAAAAATACCAGATGTTTAAAATATCACAAGTGGCCAGCGTAGGGTTCTCCTTTAGCAGCTGTAGCCAGTCAGCAGCCTGTCTATGTTGTCCACCCTCACACACACACACACACACACACACACACACACACTAACAGCAGGCCATGTAGGAGGAGAACAGAGTGAAGGACACAGCACCTCCACACTTTTACTCCCCTGCAGGTTCACCCAACACCACATGTGTAATATAAATGTGTGGGGGGTGAACAGAGTGAAGACACTGAAAATGGGTTATTTTATATGTTCTTCACAGAAAATGAGCAAAGGCCAAGAATCTGAGGCTGAAAAAATAATAAATCACATCATTTTTTCTTCTGGTAAACATTGAAAATGGGTCCCACAGACCTGAACACCACACAAGGGTTAAAACCCAAACCATAACATTATATATTATTTGCAATGAATTTTATTTTTAGCCAGATTGTATTTAATAGTAACATTATTTATCCATTAGTTACCCTGACACTCTTCATCAATAGATTTAAAGGCATTCAGGACCCACAGTTAACATGTGCTTTTTTCTGAGAGAGAGAGAAAGAGAGAGAGAGAGAGAGAGAGAAATAGCTACCCAAACACAGCGTCAGCATTTACTGAATCAGGTCTAACGACGGCTTTTCAGCGACCGCAGCGGAACACACACCACAAAGGAACTCAGTAAGCCACACACAGCTTTCTGTCTTTCCAAAAATCTGCAGTCAATAATTACTTTTCACATTACGATGTTTGTTCGTGCCGGAGGTCGGGGAAAAAAAAAGAGGCAGGATTTCACCCAGCTTAACGCTCCCTTCAAAGCCACCAGAAATAACTCCCGCTCCATGGGAGAGCATTCCAGCTTTTCACTTAAACCACCACCTGGCTCGTTAGAAAACAAAGTAGGTGCCTTTGTCACCGTGAAATAACCTCACTGTGTCTTTAAGTAGCTGCACTGCATTGGAGGTAAAGCGAAGGCTTGTAAAAGCTTGTCTAGATGAGACGTCATTAACTTTTAAGACTGTTGCTGCATTATTTACTTGTTGCATTATTCACTTTGCTAGCTGCTGTCCTGAACACAGCCCAGGCTGAAGAGAGGAATAAGCTGTATTTTCACTTTTTGGTTGACCAACTGCGACTCCCACCTCATGGGCTGCCCTAAATACCCCACCGTGACATATTTCAGAATCAAGTGCAATGTCAGGCATGGCCTCTGAGCTACTGCTGTTGCTTGATGACATGATAAGGCATATTTTCAAGCCTACATTTAAGTTTTTTTAATATGTTTAAATGTTTTTTCATTGTACCCCACCGCGACCCAGAAGGATAAGTGGTTTAGATGATGATGTATGTATGTTTTTTCATTGTGCCAGTTGTACGCAGTCATTTGATATGAAGAAAGCTACAGTACTGCTGTCCGTTTGTTGTATTTCAGCTTGGTCATCTTTGGTGTGGTGGTCCTCATTGTTCCCTAGCAGCTCAACGCAGTCACAACATTGCACACAGACAGAACAGTGTCCTACGGAATGGTCTGCAACAGTCACTTCTATTAAAGACTGTGGGAAAACAAGAATTTAGTCTTTTGAATGATTTAATGAATTGTGCTTAAAATTAGCAGAAACATGACCTAACAAGGCAAAATTTGCCTTAATATGTATTTAAATATACAGATAACTGATTACCTAGTTCAGGGGTCACAACTCAAATGTTAAGAAGAGCCATTTTGTCCTTTCAGCAAACATCAAACCACTATGGGAGCTTATTTTACCATCTTGGCTGTAAATATGTCTCAGTATGTGCTGATGTCCTAGCATAGGATAAAAAATAGAATATGAATGTAAACACAGACTTACTTTGCTCTGCTTTAAGCTTTAGCTGCTTTTCTCGCATCTCCAGCAGGAAACTTTTCTGCAAAAGCAGAACAGTTTCTTGTAAAATGTCTCTCAACATTCAGCTAAAGTCGCTTCTCATTCTCCAGCTTCTTGTTCGAATTTTCCCGTTCCACCTTAAATGGTGTCTGAGACGCCTGTATGTAACTGCTGCACCATTTAAGGTGGAACGGGAAAATTTGAAAGAGAAACTTCAGCTTCGTGACTTTTTAATGTTTGACAGTTTCTCGTTGCAGATTAAACATATGAGGAAACCAGCTGGAGTGATTATAATTGCAAATAAGTCAATTCGTCTCCAAATTATCGATGTTCGTCTTAAATCTCTCTCTTTAATGTTTCGTTAGCTACTAGCTAGGCAGGATTGTTGTCTGCATTGCTATGGTGACCAGCAGTCTGTGCGCCAACCTTCAGGGTTAAAGAGTGAATTAGCAGTTCTACATTAACTCCAGAGTTTAAGACCATTTATTGTTAAACTGTGTTGAACGACCAGCAGAGCTTTATTTTACTGTAAAGGAGGATTATTTTATTTTTACCTACAAATCTAATTCTGCTGTTTAGCTGTAATAGGGCAGTAAAGGAGCCGCATGTGGCTGGGAGCCACACGTTGCTGACCCCTGACCTAGTTACACAATGGCTTCCATTTACATTCTGTATTGACA